AAAAACAAACAAACAAACAAAAATATACAAAACCCAGAAGAGATTGCACTCCCTCGGGGACACAGGAGTGGGGGAAGAAAGAAAATGGACCCTCTCTGCACCCAAGTTGGAACATTTGCTAGATGCAGACATTGCAGAGCTTGCTGTCATTGTTACAACAGTTTCCGTGTGGTGGCTCCATTGGACAGGTGAGAAAACATCTCCAGAGAAGGTAAGAAACTTCCCCCGACAGTCCTACCTATTGTATCTTCCAGCAGGTTAAGTGTTTCTGTTTTAATATTTAGATCTTTTCTCTATTTCGGTTTTAGTTTAGTGCATGGTGAAAGATATGGGTCTAGTTTCAATCCCTGGCATGTGGAAAACCTGTTTTTCCAGTACCATTTATTAAAGAGACTGTCTTTCAGTGAAAGTGTTTGACCCCTTTGTCAAAGATAAGGCAGCTGCATATGTCTGGAGTTGCTTCTGCATCTTCTAATCTGTTCCATTGATCCTAAGGTCCTGTACCAGAGCTGGGATTTGCACACAAGGCTACTGAACATGTACATAATCTCCCCTTTCCTTTCTTCTGTTCTGTGGTTCAAGATAGACCAGAATCCCCTGACATGGTCCATGCTAGGACTGCCCAGCATGAAAACAGGCTGATGGTTTTACTTGTCCACTAGTTTCAACATCAACCAAAAGATATGATGAAGCTCTGAAAAGCACCCATCTCTGGCCGCATGAGTAAGACCCCGGTGTTCAGTTGGTGAGAGGGAAGAGTGTCCAGTTTCCCCCTTCCCAATCCACTGCTGGGTTTTGTGTCCAATGCTGGGAACACCTCTAGGAGGCATCCACAAACAAGTGTTTCCAGAGATTAAGAAATCCGGAAGCAAACTTCCTTGGGAAATAGTTGAAGGAGCTGGAGGCTATGGAGGAGAGACATTGAGGGGCGACATGAGAATTCTGTTGGGCTGGAGGCTGGTGGTCCTCGAGACATAGGGACAGATCGCATTGTTCCAGAGAGCAGATGGACCACTTGCTCATACAGGGCTATTAGATGAATGCTTCAGAGGAATTCTGTAAATATCTTATATGCAGACTTAGCAAGACGCTTATGCGGTGTTTCCACGTACAAGACAGAAACAAGTACTCCATGGCGATAGTTAGATGGACTTGGAGACTGCTTATCATTTGAGTCAGTTTAGTGGCAGATAGAAGAAAGTCACCAAGATGCCCCCAGAAATCCTCATCTCCCACTATTTATGGCCTTGTATATCTTCTCACACACTAACTCAGGGCTGGCCCAGTGTGACCAACACAATGCAGTGGAAGTGACAGTGTGTGACTTCCAAAGCTAGGACACAGAAGCATTACAGCTTCTAGTTGGCCTCCACCATTCCGTGTGATGGAAATAGGCTACCATGTCATGGCAATGCTCAAGTAACTCCCTTGGGAGATCCCAAAGGAGAAGAACTGAGACCACCCAGCACCACTCATGTGAGTGAGCTGCCTCAGATGTGGGTCCTCAGGCCCCAGATAAGTCTGCAGCAGCACTCATGAGATGGTCCACGCTAGGACTGCCCCACTGAGCTTCTCCAAAGTTCCAACAGAGAAACCACAAAAGATACCAAACATCTAGAAAGCTGCTGACTTTGGAGTGACTTGTTACACAGGCACAATAACTTAGAGGGCTGCCTATATCACCCTGCCCTAGAACTCAGCCTGAGCCCCAGTCCTGGGCAAACCTGAATACAGATGCACTGATCAGTTTGGTAGAAAATCAGCAACCGACAGCAACAGCAAGTGCACAGAATGCGAGTCTGAACCCAGGATGACCTGGAGTGCTGCACGGAAATTGGTAGGGTAATTTTCAGTAGAAGCAAAGAGGATTAGATTAGAAAACTCACTCATCATACCAAGACATGGGAGACAATGCAGCACAGGTGGCTGCAGGCTCAGGATGGGTTAGGATGCAGCAATCAGCAAAGCTCAAGGAAGCGCAGGACCTGGATAAAGGAGGTGAGCACCCCCCGGGAGGGCCTGAGCCACTCAACAGGAGAACCGTTTTCAGCTCTGGATCACCCTTTACATGAGACATAGGCAACTGAGTTCTGCAAGGAGTTGGACGGGTCTGCAGGTGGAGATAGACCAGGAAGGGAGAAGGGAGTGAGGGTGCCCAGTCCCAAAGGAGAAAGTGGTGAAGGCAAGAGCAACAGAATCACTGTTTTTAAGTACAGAAAGATCTGTCACTCAGCAGGAGGCACTGAGGACCAGGACAGGGGTGGGGTAGGAAGGGACCCACTTTGTTCATTGCTGAATCCAGTGTAGGGCAGCAGTAGGAGCTTCACTAAAAGCTGAGACCTGCCAAAATATGAGGACCACATGACAACAGAGAAGGCCCAGCATGGCCAAGCAGAGTGTGGCCATCACTAAGGACAGTGTGGGAAGAGGGCTCCCCTGAGCACTTTCCTGCTGTAATTCTGTGCCTGTATGAGTGGAACCTGCTGGATGATGTCCCCACAGTGCTTCTCTCATCTGGCAAGTGCTAAAGCCTTGGGAGATCTGATTAAAGTGTGGATTCTGAGTGAGAAAGGTTGAGGTGGCCCTGAGATTCCATGTTTCTGTCATGATTCCAGTGGACCCACTGACCTGAAGGCCACACTTCGCAGAGAAAACTCGGAGAGACAGCAGATGGGACCAAGCCACTTGGCAAAGGCACAGGGCAACTGAAACGTCTTCTAGCAGAGGACGGATGACATGCAGGAGACATGTGCACATGGACAGCACTCTTGAGTGTGACAGGAGGTCTATGTGCCACTGAGGACTTGCTGGCACTAATATCCTCTGATTCGCAGAATGCAGACTTTAGAGTGTGCCCTTTCCCAGCATCCTCGGTTTTATGGATCCTTTGGTGGTGGGCATGGTGGAGTCTTGTCGTCTGCACTGAGATCCCCGCACTAGCCTGGTGGCCCTGAGTCTTCGGTTCTCAGTGTGTAAATGGGAGTCGCGTCCACTTGTGAGGCTGTTATATGAAGCGCCATCCTGCACGTGATACGTGCCTGAGCCTGATATATGTTTCTTACTCTCATTACAACACCAAGTGATTGATAGACATTTGTTCCCTCACTTCAAAGATAAACTGCCTAATGAACATTGGTCTCTAACTCGAGCTGCCCTTCATCTACCCTAGAAGTACTGAGCTGTGTGTGAGACATGATCCCATCTTACAGAGGATGGGTTTTCACCTAGATGATCAGGTAAATCCTGCCATGGGACTCCAGGACCCCTCCTGTTGGACTCTGGTTTATCTAGAAGGCTCATTTCACCTGGCCCAGGCACCAGATTCGCCACAACTCCCAGGAACAGGTGAGTGGAGTGGAAACTCTTCCCCACCGGACTGCCCCACCTGCTCAGGACAAGGGAGAGATGGTGGGGGTTGCTGAGAAGGGGCTGGGCCAGGGCCAGGCCTGCCCCAAGCAGAGATGGCCAGTGAGATGCTCTCCGGATCCCAATGCAGTCATCCTGGGGAAACGGAGGGGCACTGTTTCCTATTAGCCAAGAAAATGCTTGGTCTATGGTCTCTGCAATGTGCAGCCCACAGAGAACCCACTTTTCTCTTCTTCCTTCAGTCTGTGACCAATGAGAGGGCCAAGCGACTTCCATCATACTGAAATCTTACTGTGAGGTGCACTGACTTCCTTCACAGGGACCCTGAAGGCCACCAGCCAGCCTGGATCCCTCAAAGTACTGTGGCTTACCCAGCAGTTTATGTAGAGAGAGCCTGACCGTGGGCTGGGATTCAGAACTCCCTGGAGTAGGCAAGCCCAGCACTTTCTGGCCATCAATTTTCCCACGGGGTGGGGTGGGGGTAAGGAGTTGTAGTATTTACCTTACTGGGCTCTTTAGCCAAAATTAAGTGAGATATTATTGTATGTTACAGGTGACGGGCAGAAGGTATTCAAAGGCTGTTAAGTTTTTACTATCCCCGCTGCCAAAGACATTACCGAAGGGCGCTATCGCCCCTGGAGCTATCGCGGTCGGGCGGTTTCCTCCTTGGTTTGAGATGTCCTTGGTCTCACCTGGATTTTGAAGACCGTGAGGATCCCAGCTCCAGGAGCACCTCCCTGCGGCCGCCTTACCACCCCTCTCCTCCTTCTCCCGCCATCCCAGCGTATCCCACCCCTAAAACTTTCCGCGGGCTCCTCGGTGAGGGGTCTTCCGAACTGCAGCCCGGGAGGAGGGGCTCTTGCGGGGTCCCAGCCGCAGACCCGTGCAGGGCGCCG